GGTTAGCCAACTCCTTGTTAAGCTTATCGCACTGTTTAACCATCTCTGGATTGCTCCGGAAACAAATGATGAGTTTTGCACCGCCAACTTTCCACCATGCTCCGCCCACTGCGGGTGGGGCTTCGCATAGGTCATGTGCTCTCTCTACATTTTGCCATATGCCCCACCTATCCCAACCTCGACAATCAGACAGACATAGCAAAGTGTGAATAGAAGGGATGCTGTCTTGAAACCAACAGGGAGCAACCGTAGTTGCGATAGTGGTGGTTGATTCAGTTGTAGTCGGCTCTTCTGTCGTTGTAGACGGCTCTTCTGTCGTTGTAGACGGCTCTTCTGTCGTTGTAGACGGCTCTTCTGTCGTTGTAGACGGCTCTTCTGTCGTTGTAGACGGCTCTCTGTCGTTGTAGACGGCTCTTCTGTTGTGGTGTCGTTAGAGTTACCCTGTGTGAGAACCACGTGGTGGTTCACCTATAAAAGAGTTTTTTGATAGGAGGAAAGGCGCTTACGAAGGAAAGACTCACCACTACTGCAACGAACAGAAGGTTCCACCAGCACATGTTGAAGAGTGATGTTACTCAAATACCACCTCCTTTTATATGGACCCCCTATTAATTTTGTGAAACCAGTAAAAGTGCAAATATTATTAAAACATTGTCGCCCGAGCGGTTTTCTGCATGTTTGCCACGTAGGACAATGTGATTCTGTTTTTTTTAATTTTTATTAAAAATGCAATGTCAGGGCGTTGTGATTCTCGACAGAAGATATCAAAGTTTCATTAGGTTCGACTGCATTCACCACGGGCCACAAATTTTACAATGTAGTAACTGACTGCAGAATGCGTAGACAAACTTGAAAAGGGCCACTTTCCAGAGTGAATATATTCACTACATACATATTTCTGCATAGACAACAAAACAAACAGCACCAAGACTTCAATAACCACAGTTCAGGTTGAGTAGAATACTCAGGGTACAGCATCATGTTGTCTGAAATGGTGGTGTCAGTACGACCCCTCCCCTTTCCTCAACACCTACCTACCACTTTCCTACAAGTTCCCAGCTTTCGAGCAGTTTTTCGAATCTTCCACCTTTCGACCGAAAAGTTTTCCATCGAGAGGTGGTATATATAGTAAATGTGGAACGGGGAAGGCCATGAAAACCAGCGATTGGGAGAAATTTTCTTCCAACGCAGCTAATTTCTCTCAAATTCACGTACGCCCCCCCCCCCTCTCTCAAAGATTACCAAATATGACCCCCTCCCCGGCAGCTAGCAAACTTTTCGGACGAAAACTGGAAAATTCGGAAAACTGCTCGGAAGCTGGGAACTTGTAGGAAAGTGGTAGGTAGGTGTTGAGGAAAGGGGGGAGGGGGTCGTGCTGACACCACCATTTCAGACAACATGATGCTGTACCCTGAGTATTCTACTCAACCTGAACTGTGGTTATTGAAGTCTTGGTGCTGTTTGTTTTGTTGTCTATGCAGAAATATGTATGTAGTGAATATATTCACTCTGAAAGTGGCCCTTTTCAAGTTTGTCTACGCATTCTGCAGTCAGTTACTACATTGTAAAAATTTGTGGCCCGTGATGAATGCAGTCGAACCTAATGAAAACTTTGATATCTTCTGCATTAAGTTCTAGTTCTTCTTGCAGTTATGGATTCACAACGCCCTGGCATTGCATTTTTAAAAAAATTAGAAAAAAAACAGAATCACATGTCCTACGTGGCAAACATGCAGAAAACCGCTCGGGCGACAATGTTTTAATAATATTTGCACTTTTACTGGTTTCACAAAATTAATAGGGGGTCCATATAAAAGGAGGTGGTATTTGAGTAACATCACTCTTCAACATGTGCTGGTGGAATCCTTCTGTTCGTTGCAGTAGTGGTGAGTCTTTCCTTCGTAAGCGCCTTTCCTCCTATCAAAAAAACTCTTTTATAGGTGAACCACCACGTGGTTCTCACACAGGGTAACTCTAACGACACCACAACAGAAGAGCCGTCTACAACGACAGAAGAGCCGTCTACAACGACAGAAGGAGCCGTCTACAACGACAGAAGAGCCGTCTACAACGACAGAAGAGCCGTCTACAACGACAGAAGAGCCGACTACAACTGAATCAACCACTATCGCAACTACGGTTGCTCCCTGTTGGTTTCAAGACAGCATCCTTTCTATTCACACTTTGCTATGTCTGTCTGATTGTCGAGGTTGGGATAGGTGGGGCATATGGCAAAATGTAGAGAGAGCACATGACCTATGCGAAGCCCCACCCGCAGTGGGCGGAGCATGGTGGAAAGTTGGCGGTGCAAAACTCATCATTTGTTTCCGGAGCAATCCAGAGATGGTTAAACAGTGCGATAAGCTTAACAAGGGGTTGGCTAACCTGGGACTCACATTCAAAATGGGCGGAGCGTTATCTGAAAGAGCGTTGCTTCCCGTGCCACTGGAAACTTTATAATCCCGCTTCGAGGCAGCCCCGAGATGGGGGGAAAGGTGGGATAAGGTTAGCAAAGGGCTGACAGACCAAGTGGAGAGATCATACGCGGTAGGGGGCTTCCCACCACTCAGTAACCTGCTCCTTGAGATAGCTCAGAAATCGCAAAAAAATCTCATGGAGCCACCTGCTGAGAGCTGAGTATGTCCCCGTTGTGCCGGGACCCGCCCATAGTGGGCGGAACGTTCCTCAAAAATGAAGCAATCGCGAAAAGCTGTATTTTAGTTCTTCATTTGCCGTGGTTTTAGTTCTTCATTTGCCGTTAACTCTTCATTTGCCGGGTAAGAGGGATTTTGGGTCAGCGAAGGTCCCTTCGCTGACCCAAAAGTGGGCCTGGCCCGACTCAGAAATCGAAAAGCTATTCTAGATAACTAAAGACACCGGGAAGAAGTGTAATGAGATCTGAGAGGGGCGCAACACCCCGATGGCGAACCTACTGCTATAAGAACGTTGTGTAGGTCATTTGAAATATTCTTACAAATTTATAATGATGACCTACAGGAAGTCGGAACGTCGGCGCTTCCCGCTTCTCCTAAACAAGTTTTTGGTCAGTGCTCCTGATACCATTTTTTCCGGTCTCCAGACAAATTGAGCTAAGAATTTGGTCCCAACTGCCAACCAGGAGCCCGCTGCTGTGGATGTGTCTCCAGCACCCCTTCGACATTGTTATTCTGGAGCGTTTCGTTTTGTTTTTTTACTCCACGAGCGGACTCTTCAATGTCCGACCTGCTCAGGACTGGGTAACCTGCTTTTGTAGCCATCGCCACTCATATAGAGTGCCCCAGCATATTGTGTGCCTTCTCCAATCAGTCTTCAGCACACTGACCTTTTTCAGAGGATTTCAGCTTCATTCTTCGCTGATCGTGGCTCATATCCATCGCAGAAATGATCTGAACTGTCTCAAAGGTAGATTTCCGCACGGATAAACAAACACAGAAGCGAACGGGCTTATAATATCGAAACAAACACGGAAGCCTTTACATTCAGCGCTGAGGGTCATACAAGCTATGTACAGCAGAAAGTATAGATTTCATGCTTTTCTCTGCTGCCATGACACGATTATGCGAAAAAAAAATTGCGCAACTTACCCAGCATTCCAGCGCCCAACAATCGCATATGTCCGCAGAACACTGGAATGGTTGACGCTACAAGGGTAAAGGCAAAAACTGCACACAATTACCGCAGGTAAAGCACCACTGAAGTGCATCCGTGTATGCTCGCGGAACATTTCGTGAAGATTGCTTTTCAGAGGGAGGTTGGCAAGAGGAGAAGTGAAAAACAAAGCTGGGAGAAATTTGCCGGCAGCTACAAACATGTTGCGACTGGTATTTCACATGTTTCATATTTACTGAGGATGTTTGCCTCTTTTTCAGCAGTTTTTTCATCCAGTCGTGCTTGATGAATCAATTACTAGGAATACAATTGCACACTAGAAGCCAGTGCCGCCGAATCTGCAGGAAGGTGTTCTTTCATAAATCCGAGTCTTCCTACCGATGTACAAGAAAACTTTCATATATTCGACAAGACCCAAGCTAGTACTGAATCGGACGCCCTCGTTGTTGTAAGTTGATCTAATATAATACTGAGTGCGCGATAAAGCAGGAGAATATAAATGGGCGTTCAGGCTGTAAAACAGTGGTGGAGCCAAATTAGAGTGACTGGCGGCATTGGACAGGGTGTCACTTTCACGCAAATGAACCAGGGTCAGCCGACTGAATGGTTCACCAGGGTAAGATTTGCTGTGACAGTTCCCATTCACAAATAACGTAGCGTACTTTCTTGAGTATATTCTCAAACGGTTGCGATTTGCAGATGGCATGGGCAACCACTCAGTACATGGGCTGCGCAGTTGTGAATTGCAACAAGGTACTGGAATGTAGTTTGTCACTACAAGACTGGGTTCGTCTGCCTCGCTCAATTCATTTATCTTTTCCTTTCACTAGGAGTTCTACTTTCTTGGATCGCCTGGATTGTCATTGAGAATTCTTGATTAACATCTGATTCTAGACGTCCAGGATCCTTGCGAGCAACTATCATCCCTCTGTAGCAGTGGAGTATATATCCCTTTTCAGAGGTAACAAGCTCAACGAAAAGATCTACAATAAGGGAACAGCTTGCTCTGCATGCCCTCAGAACACCTACTGCAACGAAGACAAACTGTGCCAGCTAATTTCCACCTTTTAACTTCACAAACTACAGCTTTATTTCGTGTATTTTCGACACTCAAAGTAAATAAAAAAATTCTAACACCTACTCATTCTTGGCTTGCGAAACTGTTTGACTCTTATCATCATTTTGATGAACACCAAATAGAAACTGAAAAAACTGGTCTTTGTAGAGCGCCCTAGATCGCGTTTCTTGTTATGAGACGTAGCTAAGGGCGGATAATTCAAGCGTTTTTCACTTAGGTCTATTGCACTGTAAGAATGGTACACACTTGGAAGAGTAGAATTTTCGTAGGCACCTATACTTCCTCACAAGGGAAGAATGGAAGGTCAAAGCGGCCTTTCGAAATCGGATGCATACCTAACATGTGTTTCTGGTCACATTGGCTGCAAACCTCTGTAAGAGAATTTTAAGGATGGGTTTACGTGGAGCATACTGTAATTATTAGTTCAGGACCCCAAGGCTATTTCGATACTGGCGAGGTGACAAAATGGTCATGTAGATGACTTCCACGTTTGCGGAGCCAAGGTTCTCGAATCCTTGATGCATGTTCCTCTTTCGACTTTCTTTGATCATAATTTTCTTCGCACTTTGAAAATGCTTTTGCATGCTTCTCGTGCTTGATAGTGCCTCGATGTAATGTTCTCGGAGAAGTAGAGGTTCCTGGTAGTGCCTCGAAGTAACGTGCTTGGTGAAATGCAGTTTACTTCGGAAGGTTCCGTAGAGGACATTTTTGGCTTTTGGCTTCCTCCTTTAGGCAACGTTCAGATTTCGCGATGGCGACGCTTCGGTCGCGTGTTCGGGCGCTCGATCGCGTCGTTAGTGCTAGCGTAGGATTGTGTAGCGCGACTGATTCGATCGCGCTCCAATGCAAAAATCGACTGGACGGATGCTA